GTAGATTCATACGATCGAGGTAGTAGTGCCTCGTGACGGTTCCATCCTACGCGTAAATGACGCCAACGGACGGCTCAAGTCCCGCTCAAAAACAAGAAGCAAGTCTACACAAGCAGAACTAGTCACTGCCGTTATCTCTAGAGAAAGCACTGCATGTTCACAGCTGTACGTACGTGCCATTCTGCGCTATCCGGAAACAGGAATAAGCACGCCACCGAAGAAATGTATACCAGTAGTACATTCCGATCTCCGCTGTTGCTATTTCCTCCTTGGTACCATTACCACTTTCTTCTGCCGTAAAAATGAAGCCCGATGTCACAGTCCCTGTACGATAGCAACTTAGACCCGACAGCTTGCTAATGGGAGATTTAATCTTATTATTGTCTTAGAATAAATCGGCATGTTCAGTTGATGACTCGTTGTCGTCGTCAGCTGCAGGTCTAGCCGCACTAACAGAAGCTAGTAGTCAATCAGTGCTGATGATTATTGGAATTCTATTCTCGTTTTCTCCTAATCTCTCGTATATCGTCCACGTTAATATAACCATTGACTGGAAGCACACTGACGAAGTATTTCGCAATTGCGTACAAAATTTTGTCTATTTCTGCCCATGTCTAGTCTGTACTAGGGCAAGCAGTAGCAGTGGCCGCAGCCGAACGCGGGGAGGCTAAAACAGAGCTCTTTTCTCCAGTCCCATGGCAAAACGAATGTATCGCAGGCCGCTTATAAGGAGGAAATAAATGATTTTCTGTCAAAGGAAAGCGCGTCTGTTTATTTATGTGTTGTTTTTACTCGAACTTATCATTCCGTCTGCTGCAGCAGCAGCAGCAGCAGCTTCCGAAATCGTTGACGCACTCGTTAAAATATAGCAGCCGTACATGTCGTACGTAAACGGCAGGAAAATTTTCCTTCCGTGCTTATGCAGACGTAGTTACGCTTCAGTGCATCACCAGGGGCAAATGCAAGTGTCACAGTCGTAAACATGACCTTGGACTGATCGACTGAAGCGTAAATTGTAAAGTTCTGCACTGTTGTTCCTGTTGTCATTGTTGCGGTTGTTGTTAGTGGTCTTGCGAGACCTACGACTGCCATCTGCGGAATCACCAGGATCGAATAACTCGAAGAATGGTCTGGTTAGTTATTCCGACTCAATGAATGTGTGTATAATACGCATTAGATTGATGTAAATGGGGTCGTTGTCTGTTACATTCAATTTGGCGGCGTAAATAAATAGTATACAGCATCTAATTCATCTGTTGATTAATTGGCAGTAACAAAAAATGGGTTTCGTATAGCTGATGATGGCAGGGGCTTGTTTTCCTTCGTACGCTTCATGCAGTTGCACGGGCCTAAATAGAAAAAAGGAACTAAGCTCACCGCAAATAACACTCCGTTTTCATTCGTTGCCGCTTTCGGTACCGCCTACTACATGACTTGACCAATATTATTATTCCCACGGAATCCCACTTTACTCGATCGGTACCAAAGAATATAAGGGCAACGTCTGTTTCGACAGCGTCCTAAACATGAGACCGACAAGAGCACGGCAAATCGTGGCGTGTATGTGTACGTGTACGTGCAGACGTCTATTCACAACTCGACAACACCGCGCTGTCGCTTATTACTTGCTTTTACTATCATTGTTGCCACTCTGTATATTGGAGGTAGTAGCAGCAGCAGTAGCAATGACAAGAACAGGTAACTAGACGAGTGAGATGGACTGCAGGACCATTAGGCGCATATTACCAAACAGCTACGTCGAATAGTCAAGGCAAGAGGGAAAGCCCTGGGCCTATTATTAGTGCTAATCTGTCGAGAGTAGTTGAAAAATATGGAGACAGACGCTATTTCTATTTCTAGGTGATTTAAGTACAGAGGTACTGCTTACGCGGAATTGATATGATTCTTTGTGATTGAATACGATGTTTATAATATATAAATACAACGAGCACTGCTGGCGCATTGATAACTACCACTGCTACTACGAAAATAATATTGTAGTGGCCTACAGAGTTCCCTTGTTTTGGGAAAAAAAAAAAAAAAAAAACTACCCATTGTTAACTCGCCTGGTTCGACGATGCCTTTCTGACAGTTGAGATCATTATGTCATCGTTTCCGCGTATAACATCGTCTCCGTTCGAACAGCCAATGTACAGGGCATGCACGCACAATGATGCGATAAATTAGGGTAACTTATCAATAGTTGTAAGATCGTCATGTCGAATGGTTACATAGTCCAACTTGATCAACAATACCCCTCATATTTCTGGCTAAATTCAATGTAAACCGTTGAAACGTATCAAAATGAAATAAATCCAACGGGTACTGCTCGATTGTTTTTCACAGCCCCCTGTTGTTAGTTCTTTCAGTATTGATAATTAAAATGATGATCGTCATAGGTATGTCAGCCATATTCATCCTATTAGATATAAGAGCGTGTTAGGATTAGGCAAAGTGACGGTATAGGATAAGGAACACAGTATTTTTGATTCCAGTGTATGTAGAAAAAATTGTTGTTCTATGTCTATGATTCCTATTTATCATAGACAGAGGTTACGTAGGCGAGGTGAGCATAGATCGCCCCGAACTTTCAACCGTTCTTGCAAATCCCAGCTCGAACGCAAAACAAAACAAAACAAAAAAAAAAAAGCCGAATGTTCAATGACGACGGCACACTTGTTTTCTCTTCTCCCTCTCTGTCGTTATCTCTGTCGCTTTTTTCGTCCGCTTCTCAAAGCTGGGTCGTTTTGTCTTTCCATAGGTGAAGTGTCCTCGAGTAGAGTAGTATCTTGCTTTGGAGAACAGTGCACTGTGTTTACTATAAACGAAGAACGAAGGGTCACGGTAAACAGCGATAGCAAAGAGGCAAATCGTAAAGCAGCGGGAACAGACGTATATATAGATATATGTATGTATGTATATATATATATATATATATTTGACTGATGTGTATATATTGATGCGCGTTAACTCAGCGACTAACTACCCCGCCACTTACTAACTTAAGCAGGACTCAATTACCTCCGTTAACTTGTTGTTGAATGTTTCGCGTATCCATCGAAAGATACAAAATAGATGTTTGTTTTTTTTTAATGCATCTTCTTAACTTCGTTCCCCCTTTATATCATCATCATCATTATTAATATTGTGTAATAATTATCGGCATTGTCATTTAGGGCATATAGTTAGTAGCATATAGGACTTGTCTAATCGTGCGGTACGCTACGCGGTTCGGTCTTCAGATTACGACTGGCCTTGAGGAGCCGGCGTTCGATTTTTGCATTTCGAAGCAGTGAGCACCGAAGAGGTAACTGTTCAATTATTTGTCTCATTTCCGATAGCCAGAAAAGTTTCCTCTACACTTAGTTCGGTACCGAGTTCAGAGAGGAACCTGCTGTGGCATTGTTATTGCAGCATTCACTATTGAGCAACAAGCTGCTTGATTACGCCACCAGCACGAACACTGTTTAATGAGTACTATTATCGTTATATTATATGTAATCGTTACTATGGAAACGCCTTCGCAGCATCTCTGCGCCCAGCGTCCAACGTACGGTGGTCTATTAATATGACATATAATTTATATGACTGGCGAGTGGTGATCCGTTCTGTCGTAATCATGCTATGGGCTACTAATAATATAATAATAGCAGCATTAATTATAGTAAAAGTATCGTATACAGAGAGAGAGAGGTACGCCATTAAATGGCCAGCAGGCTTGATTTCCCTCAAAAATCAGCAGCTACCTGAGCAAACGGGATCAAAAGAATAACAAATTCTATTGACCAAACAAGCAGCTCAAGTGGTTAAAGGTTTACTCCAAACGTGTTCTTGTTGATGGCATTGCTATTCTGTCGATCTCAGGCCAAACTCGTGGCACAACGAGACGCGAACGTCCTAGCATTTTGCCAGACAAGAATGACCTTCGGGGTTACCTTTCCAGTGAATGGCTTTCTTGCCTGCTGTTTGTTCGTTTTTTCGTCAGCTTTTACCGGCGAGTTAGGGTGCTATGTTTGGGGGGCGGAGAGCCAATACAATCGCTCCGCGCTCCAGCGTTTGACTTTTCTGTCTCCGAAGAGGGCGTCCCATAGCCTAGACAGGGCACAGCGCCTGTTCCAGGGCGCCTCTTGTCTCATGCTGCAACGGCCGGTGGTACCTTGAGGTACATCTGATCAGCCGACAATCTGATCGCAGATGTGTGTTTGTAGAGGGCGTATCTAGTCATACGGGTATATTCGCGATGTGTGCCTTCAACTGCGTACGCACACATTATCGGCGTTGTTGTTGTTGTTGTTGTTGTTATTATTATCGATATTGTGATATTTCAGGGAAGTTACAGCAGTGCGCTTGTCGTGGAACAAGTTGCATAACTGACATCGGGCGGGATTTGTCAATTAGTTCCCTTCAGCGTCAATAGGTAATAATAATGTTATGCTATTTTGTTATTGTTGCCTGTTGCACACCATGTTGTTATTATTATTATTATTATTGTTATTAATGATGTTGTCATTTTGTTGTGATCTGGGAGAGGTTCATTATCGTGGATCACTATATTTGATGCGGTAGGTAATCTGTAACGGTAATCAGAATAAAGTTTACTCTGTTTGTCTATCTGTGTCCGTCTGTACTTCTTTTACTGTAGTTTGTCGATACAATTATCTACCTGAACTTGACATTTCTGGCCATTGTTATGGTTTGTTAGTTTTCATTTTTCTGTGTACACTTGTATCCTTTGTCTGCTTTCTCTTACGGTTTAGTATTTGCATTCGTCTCACAACAACTCAACTCAATGGCGCTCGTCAACTAGTCAATCAATCAATCAATCAATTAGTCGATCATATTGATAAATGATCGTCATCATACACAATAAATCAACCGACAACGTCGCCGTTTTCCATCTTACTCAGCTTGCCGCACACGTCGGATTACCGTTATAGATACATATATATATATATATATATATATATATATATATATATATATATATATATTCACGATCATCATCATTATTATTGTCGTATGATTATTATTATTCCTCATCGATCAATCAACTAACCAACAAATCAATGAACCATCCGTCAACCAATCAACCAATGAATGATCAATCAAAGAAGCAATCAATCAACCAACCAACCAACCAACCAAAACTAAGAGATCATATGTGCTTGAGCGCCTCGTGAACCCGACGGCCGGCTTACATGCGTCGTTTGCACAATTTTCAACTGGACACAATTGTCCATATCCTGGTGCACGATATTCTACTGTATACACAAAATAACCCGACAGAACGACGCGGTCGGGTGGAGGGCCATAACATTGAATAGGCGATCGCCGAAACGTTTAACAGCGTCACCAAGAAACACAACTAAAGAGACAATCAATCAATCAACTAGGACCGACCCTTGTTCCCTTACCCACTATCGCCTTTAATGATCCTTTTTTTTAACTCGCTGCCTTTTCTCCTCTTTTTTGCCCCATTCGTTTAATGAAGCACGAGCAGCAGTTGCCCGCTACCAACACAACGAGCTCTTTTTTTTTGTTTTTCTTCCTTCGGCAGGACTACACGGGTATTCGGGGTGTTGCACTTCACACCTGCACGCACGCACGCACGCACGCACGCATGCACGCACGCACGCACGCACACACACACACACACACACACACGCACCCGCACACGCGCACACACACAGGCACACACGCATACACGGTATCGTTCTTTCGTGGAAGACGGCAAATGTAGCCCGACAGTTATTTGCAACCTTACAATGATTCCGCGCCAGCGTGAATGTATCGTCGCTCGGCTGCAGATGGGTTGGAAAGATAAGACGAAAATGCATCGTCAGCATAACACCTTCTATACCCTTAAATATATTAATCCGTAATTACAGTTTGCTGGTGTGGATTGATCCGTGCTTCCCCCTTAGTATTACCATTAGAACGCTAACTGCCATCGTTCGTCGGTATGCATGTCGTGTCATCACGGAAGTGTTGCGCTTTGCTCTGCGCGCTCGATCTGAGGTCGACAGCTTGATCTAGACCTTCAAGGGTACTTCACTCCAATGAAGTTCACGACTTTGAGCTCATCGCGGATGGATTGGATAAATCAGTTAATAAATCACCTTGTAGCGACGTCATAGTGAGTCGCTGAATTTTTGCAGAAGTCTGCTGCTGAGCATCAGTTAATCAGCAACCATTATGGACAATCACTCGCGACACACATATACATATATAATTTTATCCGGTGCCATTTCAAATCACGATTACGCTTCTAGCAGGCCACCACGGGCCCCAAAACGTCGTCTAAGCCTTATTTTTCATTTAGGTTCTTTCTACACAGTGAACAGATGTGCGAGACGTCGACTAACAGGACGTCGAGCTCCCATTACAACAATGTTCACCCAGCTTGACCCCATTCACCCGTTCGATCAATCAGCTGTACATTCGCTTTAGCTCCTCTACTAGTTTTAGTCAGTCAAATGACTTTCTATACGAATCGTAATAATAGAGCACAGACAAGATGTCACCTAAGTCGACAGTAACAATATTATACTATAATAGGTAAATCGTCGATCAATCACGCTCCGCGCAAGCGTATCTCACGCCAACGGAGTTCGGTGTCTTATTGATATCTAATCGATGTATGTATACATAAATGTGTGTATCGAGTTCTGTCTGCTTTATGTATTACATACTGTATTTGTATGTATTAGTACTATTTATCCACTTCAGCTGTATTCGAGTGCTCTGTGTATTGTTTGTTTTTTTGAAATAATTCTTTTCGCCCACCCGCTAGGTGTCCATTTAAAATATATGAAGGACATCCCTGTGGACACCTCACCGGTTGGCTTCAGTCACGATTCGTAAGTTGGATTAGTGACTCGAGCCGGTAGTAATAAATGTCTGGATTTTCGTATTGGGTGTGTTCGGCCCTGATCGCTCCTGCTCAGAACGAATGCCAAGTTCACGAGTGAGTTTGAGAGGATATGGCTAGTAATAGTACTGTTGTCGTAGTGGTAGTATACTTGTTACCATTATTATAACTTGCTTCTTCTCGAGTTTCGAGTCGCAATAGACTTTGTGTTTTTCTATCATCTAGGGACCAGCAATACATCGTGTGTATATGTGTGTGTTTGTTTGTCTAGAACGAGATTGTTGAGTCGTTATGATAAATCAATAATATTATTCAACGATTCAAAAATTATCCCGAACGAAATTGTAGTAGCGGTAGTGATCGTAACGGATAATAATAATAATTGAGTAGCGAGTGGGCTGAGCCGTTTTGACTGAACGCGCGAGTTATCAGTGACTTACAATAATAGCAAATGATAGATACAATGCGAGCGTCAAAAAATCTACCTTCGTCGATTTAAGAGCCTCCCCTAAATAACTTAATAATAATTAGCTCTTTACGACCGAGTAGGTAGCAGCTCCGTCGTGTGTACGTAGGTATGTGGCTGCGTCAATGAATGTGTTTGCTTTTTCTAGATTTATGTCTGTATAACCATCGTTATTTAGGACTTGGAAGCAACTGGGGCATCTTTTTTCTTATTTACGTTAACACTCGCCATCCGTCGTTCTTGACGACGGACCCGCATGTGATGATTATTATTAGCCTTACTAGTAGTAGCTGAAGTAGTATGTTTATTGGTATAAGCCAGCTGAAGTTGCTAGCAGGACCCGCGTGTCGCCTACCGTACCCTCACAGGAGACGGATGCTGGTCCGTTCTTTCACCCCCTACACTCTGTTCTTCCGCTGCCTAGAGGGCTAGCGCGGGCACCTGTATATAGCGGTAGATGTACAGCCGATAGTCCTTGGAGGCGAGCACGACACTACCGTCGTCCATGAGGGCGACATCGAAACATTGCGCGTGCTTCACCTTGGACTCGAGCGCGTTCACGAGCTGGCCATCCTGCGTGAAGATGGTGATGTTGAAGTTGTTGTGATTGTCCGCAACCAAAATCTCACCCTGTTGGTTGATGCATACACCTAAGCGCATCCAAATAGTATGAAATTATATCGAATCAAAGATACAACATTAGTGAATTATAGTGTATATAGTTTGCGGGTCTGTCCACACATTGTATACAAACCACACAACAATAATCGATCGTAAAAATAACAATAATGCGCAAGATAGTTAAACATATTATATAATTTACGATCTATAGTGTTTGATTGTCTAGATCGTATGGTTCCTATCTACAATGCAATAAGTCTCAAAACGCTACGGTGACTGGCAGTGTTCATAACGTGTATAAGACGCGTAATTATAGGGCATGAGATTGAGAAGTCTATTATATCGAGCCAATTTACTGTACCTGAAGATGGGTGGCAATGTCTAATTTGCAAGAAAACATAACTGCCAATCAACAGAGTTTTAAAAGAGAAGATTCAAAAATGAGAAATGGTAAAATATACATTACAGCTATATAGCTAGTGACAGTACAAATCGTATAGTACATACCAATAGGATAATTAGTGAGTCCCTCCCCTCCGATTTGACGGAGGAATGCTCCTTCGTAGTTGAATACCTTGACGCAGTGGGCCCGATTGTCCGAGATGAAGATTTCCTGCTTGTCATTGACTACGACGCCGTTGGGGAATTCTAGGTGCTTGGAGCAACCAAACTTCTGCAGGACGTTGCCCACTTGGTCAAAGATTAGAACGCGCATCACCTTGCACTCTACCACGATAATACGGCCCTTGTTGTCCACCGTAATACCTAAAACGTTTAATTACAAGAAAATGGTCTCGGCCAGTTTAGTATCGATCCATATTGTCACAGTGAGCCCTTTTGGATGAGATGGTGCTGTATGGTCGAAAAGTACAATGATCTTTTTCTCGATAGCTTAAATTTACTTAAGAATGGTATTCAGCTACATACCACAAGTTAATATGCCCTTGTGCAGAATGAAAATAGCGTAGAACGTAGTATGACGGATCTTTGACAAGTCGCGAGAAAAGAAAAGGAGCTCACCTCGTGGGTGCTGCAGAATGTTGGCACCAAACTTGCGCACAAACTGTCCGTACTGGTTGTACACCTGAATCTGATGCGTAGGGCTGCGCTCCGTCACTATTATATCCCCTGACGTCTTGACTACGGACACGCGGTTGGGATAGAGCAACTGGCCATCACGTTTGCCGCATTCCCCGAACTGGAACTTAAATCGACCTTCTTTGTCGAATATCTGAATGCGATGGTTGTTTGTATCGGCAACAATTATATCGTTTTGGGCGTTCACGGCTACACCTGACGGCTCCGTGAACTGGCCTTCCATGACGCCGAACTCACCGAACTTGCAATGATAGATCATTTTCTGCCTTTTGAGTTGGGACTTGAGTGGGTAGATGGAGGGCGACACGAACTTCGAGCTTAAATCGACACTAGCAGGCGCTGTTGGCGGCGGTACACTAACTCCCATCGGAGCTGATACACCAACACCAACAACTCCAACCCCCATCGGGGGATCTGGTGTCAGCGAGAAGTCGGCAGGCGAAACGACACCAGGCGCGCACGATCCGCTGAAGATGTCGCCGCATCCCCCGGTTGACCATTTCTCATACGGGTTTATATCAAGCGATGTTGAGAATGGGCCTAGACTGCTGGCCGAGGAAAGACGCTTTGTCAGTGTTGATGAGTCGAATATCGACGGAATACTCGGAATACCTGGACTTGATGAGGTCATCGACGATGTTTGCGAGCCACCTGACAATCCTGTCATTGAGCCCATCGATGTCATTGAGCCCATCGAGTTCATGTTAGCTGGATTATTTCCGTGATTCATGGCCGAGGAGTAGATCGATGGTGAAGATGATACGGCCGAGATGAGCGATGAGGAAAGCGTCATTGCGTGAGAGTTGAGCATTCGTTCCGCTCCAATTACACCACCAATTGGCCGCCCGATTGGTGCGAGTGGTTTTTGTTGAAGTGGTGCGGAGGAAACGCCAGACATACTGTTGCTGCTGACGGGTCCGGTGACCCCCGGCGGGCCGTTTCCGTTCCCGTTACAGAGTGGCCCCCCTGACGTTGGCGGGGTTGTTGTCTCCAGGCTCTGCTTGATATAGCCGAAAGTGTTTCTCACTCCAACCTGAATAGCCTGAAAGTTGGAAACAAATTCCAGATCCATATTTTGCATTGCGCTGTTCACGTCGGGCTGGTACGAAAGAATACTTTGAAACTTGTTGTCTAACAGCTGTTTGAACACCATCACTTCAGTATGAGATGAAAACTTGGTGAGTCGTTCAACGAACTCGGTCACACGGACGATTTTGTCCACAGTCTCTTGAACGCCTTTCTGCAGCATGCCCAGTGCCAGCACTTTGGCATTGTAGACGTTCTCAAGCTCTTTGAGCGTCTCTTGGCGACGTTCTTCGATCATAGAGCGATAAAACTGGAACGTGTCGCTCACTTCACCTTGGGCCTTCTGGTAGGCCATTTGCAGTCTCTGTTGTCCCTGCTCGGCGTTCTTGAGCTGTGTCTTTAGCTCATGGCTCTTCGAGCGACCCTCCTCAATCAGATGGACCAGTCCCTCAACATGTTTAGGCGCCACGTCCGTTAAAAGGTCGTAGTCGTGCAAGCCTTTGGGATGGTCAAGCGGTGTACATTCTTTGCATATCGGTAGGTTGCAAGTATGGCAGAAGAACTTGAGTGGCTCATTCTTATGCCGAAGGCATGACACTGGTTTGTCTGGCTTGCACCCGCTATCATTTCCCGTTTGCGCATCCTTTGAGCTCTGCAGTTCACCTAGGGTCATCACACGGTGACCCTCGAAGCAGTGCATGAACTGATGAGCCATGACGCAGTTGGGACATAGAAAGTTGGCGCAGTCGAAACAGCGAGCGATAGCCCCCGATTCTTTGCTCTTGCATGACGTGCACGATGGACTTCCGCCATCCAACGCCGAACTTTCGAGCATATTCGAAATAGCGTAGTCGCTCAGAAGACCTACTACGCCAGCACCCGGCAGCGCTGTCTCGACGCCACACTGTGGGCATTTCATTTTTTCGGGGCCCTCCTGCACCTGAAAAACCGATAAAGAGAAGAACGGCTTAGTAGTAAATTCAGGCCATGAAATTCTCCTATAAAACTGCGTAAATAGAATTAATAGATTATTATGATAATGTGCAAATGTAACCATAATAGAATCCGATCGGAAACTACATAGATGAGAATTATTGTCTGAGAATTGCGTAGCTGAATCGGCTAGAATGAGCATACCTTTTCTAGGCAGGGCTGACAAAATGTGTGCAGGCATGATAGCACCTTGGGTATGGTAAAGGTGTCGTGGCAGAGCCCACATTTGGTGCTCACTGTCGGCTGAGCGCCAGCATTTCCGGATCCGTTCTGCGCCACGGGACCAAGTGGCGGTGGACCGAGAGGTCCAAGCGAGGGACAGGAAGGAAGTGGAAGAACTCCTTCTATAGCAGGCGGGGAATCTCCGCTGCCGAATGTCGGTGTACCCGTCAGCGACGACGAAGGCGAATGTGTATTAGGTGAGGAACATGCGTTCGAGCCCATTGAAGGACTGCCGCCAAGCGATAGCTTCACCTGCAAATCAGTTTATCTCATCTGTCATTAACACGTTCACACGTTTTGTACATCTTAGCCATTTTCGGACCTTGCACTTTTCACTTTCTATATACCGCATTTAAGCGACACTTTAGCGAGTTTGCATCCACAAGTACCGCTTGACGCCCGGTTATTCTTAAAAAATTATTACGATTAAAGAAGGAAAATATTAAAATCGTCATTCGATCGTGAATTAATGAAATAATTGTGGCGATGGTCATTGTATTGAATAGGCATGATCGTCAGAAACCGCACTTCTAGAGCGTGGAAAAAGTTTATTCAAATATTTGTTTTTATTTCGATATAATTTTGGAAATTGCTAGCATAACAAGTACAGATTTAGACACTCCACCCTGCTCCACACTTGTGCATATATATATATATATGGTTGGCCACAAATGTTTCCGTAGCCTCATAGATATAGGCTCAAATATAGGCTCTCGAACAGTTCGGAGGCATATATATATATATATATATAGTTTTAATTGGATTCTTCATTGAATTTCTAATGTGAACCGCTGATCTGACATGAAATACGTCCAGCATCAGTCGCGGTCATTTTCAACCAGAAGGTGCAATGACGTGTCATATAGGTAGCTTGTCGATGCCTTTAGATCGCAGCGAAGCGGTCGTTCAAATACATATTTATGCGTTATACATATATGTATATATACGTACATATGTGTGTATTCGAGTAAGGCATATATGAGTAAGGTATATATGAACGATAATTTCTCATACTAACCACGTTACGGAAGGGGATACATATTTGCACCGTATCCATCATCGATCGACATAAAGCCACTTTTGTTTTCTGTGCTTTGTTTGCTATCGGGTCACTGCTTCTTCCAGCATAGAGCTTCAGTACCACGTTTCTGAGTTGTCCAACCTTTGTGGGCTTTTTCGTATTTGGGATCGCATGCCTCATATCAGCCGAGTTTTCCATTCGCTTACTTCATCTTTTAACAGTACTAAATAGCCATCAGAAGCTAGAACTAGCTCAATTGGCTTCTAAATATGTATGTAAACTGCAGCAGATGGTTTAGATCAGACACGTCTGAGTGGCCATCTGTCCTTACCGTTCTCTGGCCCACTTCGAATTACACAATGTAATTTATTAAAATAGTTTGATTCTATCTCTTCTTATCAGTTTCCTGTACGTTATCTTGTTAACCTTCGCCTGTATCCATTCTTGTAGGCGGATTGGCCATTAACGTGCATGACAATGGAGATTCTAACTCCAAACACTCGTGACAACAAGTTGACAAAGGCGTATATCACTGTACGCTGGCTAAATCGCTTAATAGATACTTAAATATATGTTTATATGTGTGTGTGTGTATCGGTCGATCGAGCTGGGTTCACAACAGATTCAGTAAACGGGACCAACAATAAAATGTCTATAGTTTTAATTAAAATTGTAGCAATTGCGAAATATTACGATTGATTATATAAAACTGCCGTTATATCTTTGCTTGTGCAATAGAGAGAGATATAGGTGCATGTCTATATACCAAGAACACTCACTAGTACAATTATTACCATTGCTATGAGTAACAATTTAAAAAATCAATCAAAATGACGAGTATTTCACCGAGCGTTTAGCCGCGGCTATCGTCTATCCACTCGATTAGTTTACTCGTCTCCAGAGTGCTTGAAGACAACAAGCTTCAGGTGGCAGATTTTCGTTGTCGACCTTGTCTCTTTTCTAATTATACTACTACTACGGTGGAAAAATGAGAACACGTACTTGCATTTTATAGAACATATATGTATATATATGTTTTATAAAGTGTGCATATATACATGTTAATAGGAAAAATGAATCTCTACAAGACATCTCCTACGCAGTTCTAGCGGCGCTCGCCCCGCCGTGTCCCGCACCCGTTCCTGCTCTGTCTCAGCTAAACATGCATCCAGATGTAGCGACACGCATATACACTCATTCAAATCGCTGCTATGTTTTCGGCGAGTGGTTTTACTCAGTTACTATTCCATTTGATCATTTGGAGCCGCATAATGGTCGACAGCTACGGGGGGTATCAACAATAGCAGCTGTGACGACACACAGCGGCGAACAAACTCAACTAACGGCGATGGCTATCAATCATAGAGCTCCTTTTTAGCCTTCGATGTCTACTTGCGTACTAACAATTGTAACAACTGCGCAATTAGTACTGGTTTTTTGAGTAGGTTTCGGTCCCCGTGATGGTGCGGTGATAGACTTCGAGACACATCAACTGGTCTAGTCTTGAAACCAGACGTAGATACACTTCGGGTCATACTAGGGACAAGCTATTCGAAGCAATACACAACAATGGTACCAGACGTGCAATTCCGAACGATCTAGTCGCCGATGGATACATGTATCCGCATTGTATTTAGATTAGGAGTACACGGTACAACCAACAGTGAAGGTGGCCTCTCGTGCCGTTTTCGCTATTCATATAGGCAGAGAAACGCCGGCAGACAACGGCGAGTACACTTCAGAGCGTGCTTGTCGTAGTTCCGTAACGTGGTTTTCCGTCGTATCGCAGGTTGCCGCTTTGAAGAAATAATGGCAAGTGAAGTTTTTGTTAGCCGACCCATCGGCCTAAGTCAGTTGTCGTATGTCTGTTCCAGGACGTCTTCTAACTGGATGAGAACTCCTGTTGTCGAGGGTCTATTCCCAAAAGGTTTGCAGAACAATGCAAACCGTTTCTGCTAGAAGGCCGCGACGATGGCCACGCGTACTACACCACACCGCTGCTGACCCTGTCGTTTGCTCTACCGGTGAACTTCCGCTAAGAGCGCGTTAAAGGCACATATGTACGGCCGCCTATAAATGACAAACTGACTAATGGTGGAACTTCCGATGGGTGACGCTTCCCGACAGTTTTAGTCATCAATAGGCAACACCAATCCGATACGCTCACACACACCCAGACCCAGACAAACAGACAGACACACACACACACACACACACACACACACACACAGCATATAGCCTTCAAACTGTTGGCGCCCACAGAACTTCAATAGCTTTTATGTGTAACTATGTAATAGCAACCAGACCGGGCGCTGCCCCAAAGGGAGGGCGGAAGTCGTCAGAGCTCGCCGCAGTTTTTGCCACCAGCTGCCGTCGGATCATATCAAGTTACCAGCGGCAGTAGCAGAAAACAACATCCCGAACAACCTGATCACGTCAAAAACTAACAACCAAGTCTGGACCCGATCTCCGTCGGCCTAAAGTTGGCCATGCCGCCTAGCTAGTTTCTAATTAGAAGACGTGCTAAGCGTGCTAGCCATGTTTGCTGCCCGGCAATAGTTGAATTAATCAAATTCGAAGTACGCTGATGGCTGTTACTGCTGGTACGGGCAGAACAGAGCTTGATGTTGAAGCAAACAGAGTTTCACTTCCCTTATCCCTCTCTGTCTTCGATGGCAGTCCTCGGTGGGCTACGGGGCACGAACCCGCCGCGGCAGCCTCGAAGTCAGCAGCAGCGACTTTCCTCAGCAGCGTATAGCGGACACAAGGCCAGAACCGCTGTTGGATGCAGAGAGGGTACTTTAGAGAAAGAACAGATAGACGTGGTGAAGGTGCTGGTTTTCGTGTCCTCCACTGTTGCTGTTCGGAGTTGCCATCAGAACCGCCATCTTGCTCCCCATTCTGAAAGGAAGGGTAAATACGTAGCGGCGTCTATAAACAGGAAACCCGGCGACAGGGCGTGAAAGGGCCGCATCGCTAACAGATTTCGAAGCAGCAAAGCTGGTAGGCAAACAGGCAGTCGGCCGTCTGGAGAATGGCACCACGAACGCCAGTGTAACTAGGATGACAGCGACAACAAGGAAAACAACGACGACGACAACGACCGGATCCATGGTTTGAGGACTTGGTCATCGTCGCTAACCCTCCCTCTTGAGCGGACGGAAGGCCGTCTAAGAGAGGGAACGGGCTGGCGGCGTCGTCACGAGGGCGTTGACTCCAAGGAACTGAACTCCTAAGCTAAACATTGAGCCCCCTCAACCCCTCCTGCCCTCGAATTTACTGACGTCAGCAGACATTGAGAAAATGAGTGAAAGCAATTTCTTTTCCAACTATTCTCCGCTATTACGGTTATCTCAATTCAAGCTTCAAATTCGTTGCCAGGGTCTCCAGTTGGGGGTATGAAATGCTGCATATATTATACCCATTATTCGTTAAAGATCTTCCTCGAAGCATGGAAAAAAGTCAGCGAAGGACGGTTCGATATATTTTCGTTTGTAAGGTATCAGGATCATTTGTGAGCTATCGGCATGTTGCGCTAACCTTCAATGGAGAACTAATGAAATAAATTTTTGACTAACTGGCCCCCTACCAGCTGAGAAAATAGCCGCTACAGATAGGTGAATATAGAACACAATTATCTCGGCTTGAAAACTCAAAATTCTTAATGAAATATGAAGGCCGGGTTCTGCTTTAGTCACTGCGATAACTATAGTTCCGCTCACGAAGCTTTACTGAACCAGCCAAAAAAGAATCATTTTTAAGAACCAGAGGTATATTATGATGAGAATATTATAATACTAATGTATAAATAAACGCACGTCTGCAGTCATCAGAGCGAATGGCTGTAAAGAACTCGTTCCCGCCAGTTATCGAAGTCAGTTCGTTTTATTCTGTGGGATGACTAGCGACATGAAAGCGTTGGTGAGCTGTCTGGACGATTGGAGAGCATCGTCTTTGATGAGACTCGACAGAAGAGGTGGATCGAAGGATTTCAGTGCGCAGGTGAGGATCGCGGGTGCTCGGCCGACGAGATAATGCAAGAGAAGCACGACAGTTCCTGAAACGTACGGCCCGAAGGTGGTTCGACTCGCATGCAAGAGAAGCAACTACCTCGAATGGGTCCGAGAATAAACTCCCATGTCTAAAGGAAGCCGTTCTTGCATAAACGGAAGAAACCAAAAAAAACTTGTGGCACGTAGTAAATAAAAAAAGTGGTGGATAAGCTATGAAC